GGGCGGCTCCTCCGTGCTTCACTTATTTCCCCCCTCTCCCCTTCTTTTTCTTCCCTCCCCGCTCCCCCGTGTGTGTGTAACCGGGGGTGGGGGGTGCTGGGTTTTCTTCTTCGAAGGGGATTTTGCGCCTCCGGGCGCCGGGGATTGGCTTCGCTTAGCAGTGTGCAGTGGGGCAGAAGGGCTTCAAAAGGGCCATTCTTGTGGAGTAGGAAAAGTTTCCGCTGCCCGCCCGCCCGCTGAGCGCATCCGCCTCCCGGCCCCCGTGTCCCCCGCCCCGCAGCGGGGCGCGATCCAGCGCTGCCCCCGCCCGCGGCACGGGAAGGGTCTCCTCAGGGGGATGGATGCTCCTTCGCATCCAGCTTCTCCCCAGGATAACCCTCACGGGCAGGCTCAGCTGGAAGGATGCCCAGGGAAAGCCCCTCTGCTGCTGCTTCTCCTCCTGCTGGCTGTGGGGGCCCGCGTCAGGCCAAGCGCTCATCCCCAGGCCCTGCTGATGTGGAGATGCTGGAAGGCTTCAGGACTTTGCCTCCGAGGTGTCTCTGTGTAGGGGATAAAGCTGCTTTTTGCCTCTTGCCACCAAGGTGTTAAACAGGAGAGTTTTGTTTCTTCCTCACAACCTGCATGTGTCTCAGGAATAGCATCAGAACAGCTCTGACTTGATCCAAGCAGAACAAAACTGGCCAGAGAAGTAGGCAACTGATTGCCAGGCTGGAGCCATAGTCATGACATCAAAGTTCCCAGGTTATCTTGGGCACTGTAACCCTCCAGCCTCTGCTGCCGTGGTACCTGGAGCTGGGGCTGAGGTCCAGGGAAGGCAAGGGTAAATTGCTTGGAGTGCTCTCTGCCTGCCCTTAACCCTGCTTGTGGAGCAGCAGAAGTGGAGGGATCTGTCTGTCCGGACTTTCCAACTTTGGCTCTTAGGGACACCAAGCAGAATGCTAATGAGAGAGAAGGGGATGCCACCACTCTGTGACTGCTGCCTGTGCAAGTTCCCAGGAGAAACAGGGACTCAGGCTCTCCTCTAAGGTGTCTGCAGCTGTAATGCCAGAAGGTTTCTGGCTGCTTGGCAGAAATCTTTGGCCTCCCTCTCAGCTTTCAGTACTAGGAGACTGATAACATTTTGAAATTGTAGTCTAGTCAGTATGAATTCCTTTTGGTGTAGATTGTACTGAGCTACTCAATTTAAATTGCAGCGGATGTCGTAAGGACTTCACTGTGGGGTTCAGCCCTAGTTAATTGGGACATGGTTTTATGGTCTCATCAGGAAGTTTTTAATCAATTAATTGACAAGGGAATAGATGTAATTTCCATTTTGAAGGACTTTCTCCTTTCTTCACAACTCAGCTAGACTATTCTTAAATAGTTGTGTGAACAGAAGCTGCCTTGTAAGAAGTCAGGTCTGTTCATACAAATTGTATTGAGACTGACACTGGTTTCAAGTGACCCATTTGCTAAAGAAAAAAGATTCTGATATAAAAAGCCATCCAGCAGGCAGCAGTTTCTCTGCTCTATCACTGCCATTATGTTTCACCTGTACATTTTCCAAGACACATCTATTGTTATATATGTGTTTAGGTACACGTATATTTGTGTATGTGTTTCTGCCCACTGTGGTAGTAGTGTAGGCTGCTGTTGTCAGGGACTGATTTACTTTCTGAGTGTGTTGGTGTACAGATGTTTTCAGGGGGAAATATTTTGTGACTGTCCTTCCCAAAGAGCTGCAGGTTGCATCGTGTACAGGGATATTTTGCTCCCCCCTTCACTGTGGGGGCCCTGGCAGTGCTGTTCTGTTTTGTGTTCTGCTTGCAGCCCCCTCACAACACAGACTGAAGCTGGGTGCCAGCAGCACTTGGATGCACAGCAGGCTTGTCCATGGTCAATGGTGTGTGTTTAGAGGGAGCCCAAAGTGGCACTGACCCATTGTCACTGTGTGGAGGTTCTGGGTTCCCATCAGTGCTGGAATTGGGAGTGGGATGGGCTTGGGGTGAAATGCTTCCTTTAGGGCACAGAATATGTAGTTTTGCCTGCCTGGAAGTTGCAGAGGGTCCCAGTGTGCTGCTTGTGAGGATGTTGTGTAAGCCCAGTGCCCTGCACTCCAACAGCAGCAGCTGCTGGCTTCCTGCTGGAGTTTCCATGCTGTGGCACAGGGATGCAACACACCTCTGCTCGTTTTCATTCTTGTGTGCTCTGGAAGTGCTGCTGTCAAACAACTTTTGCCTTTGCCAGGCAGAGGGGCAGTGTGAAGAAGATCATAGTTTGCAGTGTCTCTGTGAGGACAGGAAAAACAAAAATAAAGCTCAAAACATTTGAAATCCTGTTAGCTGGAAAAACTGGAAAATTAAAGCATTGTCCCCATCAAGTTTTTTGTATTGCAGTGTACCTTATCCTGTCAGCCTCACTGTGGTTTCTCGTATCCTTATTTTGGTAGTGATGTGGATATAATTGCAATGCTGCTGTGGAGGAGAATGAACTCCTGAATTCTGTATGGGATTCTTCTGGGCATTTGCAGCTTCTCTCAGGCTTGGCTGTGATTTTATATTGAGTGTGTGCACCACTGAACTGATGGCATTTTGCTCTGATTTCACTGTATGCTAAGCCACAAGTATAGTAAGAATAATAAATTATAGTACAAGTTGTCCAGGTCTCCATCAATATAAATTGTTTTAGATCAGTGCTTATTTTGGATCATCAATGATTTTAGGTACTCCCTGGACAGCTTGCTCTCCAGATCCACATTTACATCCAGACACTTGGAGCATGCTTTGCTCATCTCTAGTGACACAGTTCACATATTCTCTAATCTCTCCTCTGTACCTTGTTTCACTGATGGAGGCAGCAGGAGTTCCCCAGAGGAGAGCATAGGTGTAGCAAGACTGGCTTGTCAGATGATTGATGAGGATGAAATCAGGAGTGTATCCAGTGTTATGTTAAAATACAGTGAGGCCTCGGGCTTTTTCTGACTCCAGTGCAGGTGAGTGAGGGCACACAAAGTTGTCCTGCATCTCCACAATCCTGAGCTCTTTCAGTCTGCAAGACAGAGAAGAGCAGCTGCAGCAAAAGGTGGTGCTGAAAAGGTCTGTGGTTGCACTGTGTGCTGGACTGGCCGGGATGGTCCAAGGAGGTGTTAACTGGCCCAAGCCAGTACCTTGCCTGAAATCATTCTGACAATATAATAAGAGCCTAGACTGCTGAATCTGTAAAGGGGTCCTGGTAATACTTACCTGCATTGATAGATCCTGAGCATCTTTCCACTGGCCCCTATAAAACTGGAGTAAAAGTTCATGTGACCTGAAACCTTTGTCAAATCTCTTCTGCAAGATACACAAGTGAGATCTCCTGCCTTATTGCACCACTGAGAAATGTCATCAGTGGTGTGGAAGTTGGCAGGTTTCCTAGCTCATGGAGATCCCAAGTGTGTTGCTAATGCATGATGTCCTGACACTGTAGGTTTGGAGTCCCTTAATGCCATGCTATAGACTAGGGGAAAAGAGCTAGCAGATATTTGTGTGTGGAGCTAAAAGAGAGACCTGGCTTTAATGGAGAGAAGCAAGTCTCTAGGTGATGTCCATAATGAGCTTTTGGGATAGAGATGCTTTGCAGGGCTTACAAAAAATGAAGATTGCTTCTGTCCTAAGCTGGCTTGGAGCAAGATCAGTGCCTTATCTGTTAATTTGAAAGTATTCTGGAGAAAGAAAAAAAAAAATTGGAGGAGGTTGAAAGGTGAAGGAGATTGAGTGCCTTGGTGCCACAGCTGGTGCTATAATGTGGTGCTGTGAAAGAAAGCAGCATGGGTTTCACAGTCAGTTATTATCATAGCAGTTTACTGTTGCCTTGCACTGCACAATGTGCTTTCCTGGGCTGGATGTTGGTGTAGATCTCAAATTGTGTGGCAGAGAATTTGAGCATGCACTTGGCCTTGTACCTGGGGATTGGCTTTTACGTGTGCGTGATACCTTTAAACAGCTGGTTCAAGCTTCTGTGATTAACATGGTGGCAAAGACAAAGCTGAGCTTTCATAGGTTCTCTACAGCAGCAGATCCTCATCAGACTGATAGAGACACAGAGGTGTCTCAAAACAAAACAGGTTTTGTATTCCATCCACAGCAGAAGATTGATACAACTGAAGGGTCCAGTGCAGGATGAAGCCTGCAAGGTCATCATTGCTCTTGTCAGGTGATTACAACAGACAGCAGGGGAAGAGTTAGGTCTCTTATAGGAGAGCTTTTAGGTAAGATGAAACTGCATTAGGTGTTGCTTGCAAGATGGTACTTAATGTTACTGACAGGACAAAGTGGGCACGGGTAAGGCAGAATAATGACACACCTATGTATTTCCAATGCATTGTATTTTGTCCTGGACAAAGTAATTGTGAATAAACTCTTGTTGGATTTTTAGCTTAAGTGTTCAAACCCACTTTGTAAAAATGAGGAGTTTCAAGAATGGCACATACTACTGCATCCAACAGCCATGACTGATCAAACTAAAACATCTACATGTACATCCTTCTATTCTTCACCCTTCTATTTCCTTCTTTTTTGGGTAGCTGTTCCAAGCCTTTTTTCTGACTGTTGGAAACTACTCTGATTTCTGTTCTAATGTTGCCATTGGGCAATTTAGATTAATTTTTTTTTTCATTTGTATGCATTCCTTTT